GGGCTGATGTACGAGCAGCCGCACTACAGAGGCAGGATGATGTACCTGAGGCCCGGAGAGTACAGGAACTTCATGAACATGGGCATGAGTGGGATGAGGTGGATGAGCATGAGGCGCATCATGGATTCCTGGTACTAAATGTTCACTGAATGTATTAAATGCCATTAAATAAAATCATTGCTGCATGACTTTGTGTTTTTCATCTTACTGCTTCAAACTGAAATAATATGAGTAAATTATGTCATTAAAGAACATATTTGAAATGTTTTAGTCAGAAAGCAGCTGCACGCAAGCAGGTTTTTATCCAAAATTTTAGTGAAAGGAGGATTCAAATAAACTCTGGTAATGCTGAATAACAATACAAATCTTCTACAAACATTAGCACATTAGTTGGAAAAATCATCATATTATATATGAAGCTTGAGGTGGCTTGACAGTAGTCTTTGACAATGACCTGGCTATGAGTGATCAGAGGCAGATTTGCAGTTGTTGCTGATAAATACCAATCACTCTTATTAAGTGGTGCCTCAAGTATTTCAGGCCTTTGTCTTTGTATTTACTGGTGTAGTGGTTAGAACAAACAGTATATGTCTAGTAGTGAATCCTTTGTTAACATATTCCTGATTAACATGTGTCATGGGATATATTACATAAATGCCCTGGGGGAGACGTGACCAGACTACCTGACTTCCTCTGCAGAGTGAAAAAAGACTAAAAGACTTACAAGGTGATCCTGTTTCCCAGCCACAATCACATTTCAATAATATTGTCCAATAAATGATTTTTGGCACTGCAGTCATTTTCCCTGTGCATTGATTTTACTCACTACACTGGGAATATATCACACTTCAAGGCTCATGAATCATCCAGCAGTGCACTGTTTTTCAAAACTTGATTAGTTTGAAACATAATTTTAGTTTGAAACATAATTTCAGAAAAGCTAGATAATGTGAGCTGATGCTTGTTGTTAATGAAACATAGCAAACATTTTAGACAAGAAACATTACTCTTGATATTCTGCCTCGCTAGAATCAATTTAAAAAAGCACAATACTCAAACAAAAATACCAACTATAGATGAAAAAGCTATAGACACTGCAGCACATACAGAATTAATATACACAGGCGGGCGGCTTACACATCAGCTGTTCTGGACTATGTGCAGTTCTGTACTGATGCTGTCCTACCTACAAAGTCCATCAGGGTTTTTCCAAACCAGAAACCATGGTTGGACAGTACAGTGTCACCTCTGCTCAAAGCTCGGGACGCTTCCTTCAGATCAGGTGACAGGCTGGCCTACAACAGGGCCCGGAAAGAACTAAAGAAGGGCATCCGGCTGGCCAAACACAGTGAACACACTGAAACTGCACAAAATACTTTTCTTCAGATTCAGGATGTTTTGAATCATTTCAGGTAACATACGATCTGTAGATGATGATAATGGATTATGTCTATCAACAAATAAAATCACTCGATTTTATGCTCAACTGTATATTAGCGTTTTAAGCAATACAAGCAGCACATACAGTAGCCTAGTCATTTTAAAATTTTACACACATTTGTAACACAAACATTTATATATAACTAAGATAAATACCTTACAAGTTCCCAAGCATGCACTAAAAAATATTGTTTTCTTCACTTTTTCTTCTAGCTATATTGGAACAAATAAAATAACTTTATA